CCCCCCCCCCCCCCCCCCCAAAAAAAAAAAAAGGTATAGATGTAATCTCCCAAAGAGAAAGAATTCTAATGATATCATCTGGATTCTCTGTCTCTTTTGGGTTTCACTTTGTTATTCTTCTCGGTCTCTGCGTCATCATTGTTGTTACTATCACTGTTCCCGGCGGTGGCTTCGTCCATGCCTTTGACACCGAGAAGGACGAATTCATCAACAAGCATTTTCATGAAACTCTCGACATCGGCCCTGAACCTTTCGGAGCCTCTCACTCTATCATCTTCCACGGCCTGAACGCATCCATTGACCAGCGATCCCACTACCGCCCCATCCTTGTAGGCTTTGCACGCCTTCATTATGTCATGGCAACAACTGAAGAAATGTCCGTACGCGAAGTCTTCAAAGTGCTGCACCCACATGGTTTAGAATCATGGGTTAAGCATTGTGGCATTGTATTCAAACCAAGGCAGTTCTGTAAAAAACAATTCCACCTTGGTATTGGTTACTCTAAAGCTTTCTAGGAATTGTAGATGAAAGCCATTTTGGGGCCGGGCAGAGAAAAAAAACCCGAATTCAGAGAACCCAAACACCACATGAGATGAGGTCGGGTTATATAACGTGTGGAAAACCCGAAAATCTCGGATACCCAACTTGTGCCCATCCTAGCAGATTACGAAGAATATATATTACCTTGGGTGGTCTTCTCATGTTGTAAACCATCGTCTTCAAAGACAGTATAAAAGTGTTCTCATTGTAAGCTCTAGAAATGGATTCCCCTTCTGGAGTACCGATTCCGCTCTCGAACCCAGGCTCGTTGAAATAAGGGTTTTGGTTCAAGATGAGAGCTTGGATCGAGACTAGAACCTGTAGCATCGTAGAAACGTTTGGGATCCATTTCTCCCTATGGTTACCACTCCATGTGCCAAGAAGGCTCAGGCATACTTTCCCACAGTTATATAGATTCGGGTTGATTCTGAGCCCACCGGCATGGTAATGCACTTTCTGTCACCACCATCGAATTCCCATTTTAGAAAAAACAGAACAGGTTTGAAGACAAAAACACTTTTGTGAGAACGCAATGTGATGACATACCGGTGGCATATTAGGATAGGTTTCTGGGAAGTGAATATCGAAAAAGAAAAGACCGTCGTGGTAGGGAGTTCCTTCAGCGCCGATTATTACAGCCCTCAATAGATCCATCCGAGACTCATACGCTCTGACGAATATCATATCTGTTGCAGTAGAAAGAACCTAATAAACAAAAGGGGGATGGGGATGGAATTCCTTCATCTCAAGCAAAATTGATGTCTAGAGGGAGTGCACTCACCCGGTAAATCGTTCTCCAGGATCTTCCACTCTTCTTGGATCCTCTTCACCCAGCTCTTCGCGTGCTGATAAGAGGGAAAGTAAAGAGAAGTTATTCAGTTCTTGAAAATGAAACAAGAACAAAGAAATGTTACAGAGATTATAAATTATGTCAATTGGTCGCCACCTGTTTTGAAGAACTTCCCCTGGAAGCATAATGGTGATCTGAAAAATCTTCGACGGTGTCAAATCTTTTGAAAAACAAAAACTTCCCCAGAAAATCTTCCATGTTTTTCTGAACCCGGGAAGAATCCTTAGCTGAAATAACCTCTTCCACTCTCGGGCGTGAACTAGCAGAAGCATGGTAATTAGGGGGAGTTGGTGGTACTGGAAGCACCGTACCAAAAGGAGGCCCACCCATCACCATATCAGGAGTCTGAGGTGGCATGGGAAAAGGGTTGACAAAGCCACCAAAGATACTAATACCGGAAAATGGATTCCATGGTTTGGAGATTTTATAATCTTTCGGGGGAAGATATGCATAAGGATACATAACCTGCGAGTTCTGAGGCAAAGCTGAATCTACCGATTTGCTTCCATCAGAATGGTGTGAAACAACACTCCATGGTTGAGAAGTAGAAGTCAGCATCTGTGGCCAGGGAGATAGCGATGGACTTCCGTTCGCATTCACTGCGGTAACACCTGATTTCTTCCCATTGTTTGCATGCGATGAACTGCTTCCGCCTGATTTCGCAGCTTCTTTATTAGTTGAATTCTGAAACCAAGGTATTGACAACTCTACATCGGTAGGGATATCCTTAGAATCTAAAAGGTCTTGAAACATCGAATACTCATCGGCATCCGTTGCTTCATCCGGGGACTGATCGTAATACTCATAGTCGTCTTCGTAGATCAAAGAGTCTGGGTCCAGTATATTATGCGACCCGAGGGGCGTGCCAGGATGAGATTCAATCTTATTTACTGGGCCGGAAACATCAATAGCAGTATCCTGAAAATTTTAGACCATTCAGTAACATACTTTTCTAAACAATGAAGGGACAGAAGGGCGGAATACACACAGTAGCTTGCTTATCGTAAGAATTGGAGCTGACATCCACAGCCTTCCCTTTGTTCTTCTTGTCTGCATTATCATTAAGAGCAGAACCGCCACTGTTTTGGATTTCATATCGTTCCACATCACTCGCTTCCGGATTAACAGCCTACAACATAGCGATTTTCGCTGACAATTATACTGAAAAAAGCCTAGAAAAAACCATCTCCACGTTTTATTTCTACTACCAGAGAATGATATCCAGATTGACCCAGCTCTCACGGAACTGATCACAGGAAAATAAAAACTTTGAACATTGAGAACAAAGACCCAAAAACCACCCCAAAAGGCTAATATTACACTCCGATCAGTTCTATGTCACAAAAGGTTTATGAAACCGAAACAGAGAAGATCATAGATCGTCTTCTATCTTCCGGAATAACATTGATAAGCGGTGAAGCAAACAAAAATTCAACACCAACTTGGGCAATTTCCTATTGCGATGGAACGGGACAGAGATGATCAATCAGTAACAGCAAAACCCATTATCATGATCACCACGAGGCGCACACAAAAGACCGTTCAAGCATAATGCACGAAAGCAAACAAAAAAAAACCAAGGCCAAACGAATGAAAGAAAACCGCTAAAACCCTAAAATTCAACAAAACCCTAAATTCCAAAAAAAAAAAACAGATGACCACGCACGATCACCGCAGAAAAGCCAACTCATACCGGAACACGATCGACAAAATCCAGTTAAAAAATTCCCGAATGTGTCACATAAATCAGTGGATTTGAGGGGTCAAACAAATTTTCAAACTCAAATATTTCTAAGAAATTTCTTAAAAGAGAAAACCTGTTTCTGCTTGCGTGTTTTCGAGCTCGATGCCGAAGGAGGGGCGATCTCAACCACGTCGGGCTCCATCGACGACCCCCACCGGTGGAATTTTCTGTTTGGGAAGCAAGAATTTTTCTTGGGCTCCGACGGAAACAAAGGAAAGAAATCGATCAAGAAATCTCGGGGTTCCTTAACAAAAAAAAAAAGGAAATCTTCGAGGTTTCCACCTTCGCGCCGTATTACACACCAAAACAGTGAAACGAGATTTCGCTTCTCCTTAAAAAGTCCTAATTAAATTCTTAATTATTTTATTTCTTCGTTAATATTATTGAAAGTCAACAAGGAAAGTCATGGGAAGTCTACGTAGTTGAATCCTAACTAAATCCAATGGTTCATAATCTAGTTTTTGTGATGACGTGGCATGATCTTAGGTAGGCCTCACGGAGATTTGATGGTCTGCTGCTGTAGAGGAGGTATTCCAAGCTTCCAAAGGGAATTCCGACCAACTCCAATAAATCTATAGCCGTTGGATGAGAGGAACAGCTTCTATAAAATCCAACGGCTGACAACTTTTCTTTCCCCTGAATAACAGCGCGATCATACCAAATCGAGGATATGATATGGTCAAAATAGTCATATAAGAGATCTATTTGAATTAACAATTATTTATTTTGAATAAAGGTATTATATTAATATTAGTATGAAATATTGGGCCTATAGGGCTGACCCAATATATAAATTATCAATCCAATTGTAACAAATTTTGAAACACAACACAATAAATCTAAGCTCATATACCAACGGCCTAAGCCCAGATATTACAAGCCCATGTATCAATGGACGAAGCCCATATTCAATGCTCTTGAAAAGAATTCTTTCTTCAACCCATAAAACAGATAAATGAATCAATGTTTTTTTTTTTTGGGTAAAAGATAAATGAATCAATGTTAGATGCAAAAAAAAAAAGGAGTCACTAGTTGTCTAAATCGGAGTAAAAGAAAAAAATTCGGAGTAAAGTGGTTCCATTCTTATTTTATTTTTTCAATATTTATGGATTTAAATTATAATTTCAAAGATTTGTGTTTAAGTATATATATATATATATATATATATGTGTGTGTGTGTGTGTACACACACTTTACCATTAAAGAATTTGCTCTTAATATTATAGATTTGAATAAAATATTATTGGATATTTCTTTATTTTTGTTTTAGGATATGATTTTTATGAAAATAAACTGTAATCCTAGAAAATACTAGAGGGAAGTTTTGATTTATTTTGCGTATCAAATTTTGTAGCCACAAAATTTTATTTTGTTCATACCATTAATCAAAACAGAATAAAAGATAAGATAGGAATATTTTTGAGGGAAAAAATATTATTCCCCATTAGCAAAAGCAAAAGCAAGAGCATTTGTTCTCGTAGAGACGAGTCGTGTGCACACGTAATCTATACACACAATATATAGATAGAAGACATTGAAATTTGAAGTGCATTTGTCCGAGAAAAAGTACAAAATATTACGGGAAATCTAACAAAGAAAACTCAATGACATCTTATACGAATCTCATAAGAAGTTTATTTTTAGAAAGTCAAAATTGCATTCCATCAATCATTTAAATTACAAGATAAATACTATATATATATATATATATGGTAGATTTGTAAAATAATTTCTGAAATATTTTTTAATAATAATCTGAGGAAATGTAATTATTCTTGTTTTAAAAGTTCAAAAAAAAATTGTAGTCAAAACGATGAGAAGGTTTCCGATGAGTGTGTTTCGTTTAGTGAGTAAGAATATATTTGAATAATTAATGAAAAACAGTCCAAATCATAAATGAAAAGGACATGAGAGGAGGACAAAGAAGCCATCTCACTCCTGTAAGATTCGGATTCGGCACAAGAAGAAGCGTGTGCTCCTCCTTCTGCCAATTGTTATGGCACTCAAGTTGGGAGAAAAGATTCACTTCTCCATCTATAAATAGATGGCTTCACCACAGCAACAACCACCACTGAAATCACGAGCAAAGACACGACACGAGCAAAAAGCCTCTTACTTCCTACAGAGTCACCAACAATGTCGGACAAGTGCGGAAACTGCGACTGTGCCGACAAGACCCAGTGCGTGTAAGTGCCTTTTTTTTCTTCGTCCTCATCGCCCTTTTGGTTCTAATGCAGAACTATGATTGCCCTCAAAGTAAAGTTTACAAATTTCTTTTTTGTTAAACTAAAGTTTACAAATTTGTTAGCAGAAACCTCTGTAACTTGATTCTCTGATGACTTTCTTTGGATGATAAAGTTTTGGGTGTTACGTAAAAATCTAAACTTTCGACCAATTTAAAAGTTGAAACCTACCAACTTGTATAGTTCAACCGGTGAAAGCGCCGTCTGTTCCGCCCCGAATTTGAACCTCAAGTTGTGAGGAGAACATATATTCTAAGCACATAACTTGCTCCGGATTAGTTTGGATCTCAGCCCATTGCACCTGATCACCCAAAAAATACTGAAACCTTTCAAAAGATATCTTCTTGCTTTCCTAACAAGTCAGGTTCAAGGCCAACTATTAACCTTTGCTTCTGTTTCTGTGACTGCAGGAAGGGAAACAGCTTTGTGGTCGACGTGGTCGTCGAGCAGAGGTAAATTTGATTCTAGATTCATGTAGATGATGACGATGATCATCATCATAATGATGATGATGATTCTTAATATTTCTGTTGCTGCAGCTACACTGAGACCATGGCCATGGACGAGAACAGCAACGAGAACGGGAAGTGCAAGTGCGGCTCGAGCTGCAGCTGCACCAACTGCACTTGTGGCAGCCACTAAAGGTCGTACCTCTGAGCCAGAGGGCCATATGCCTTAATACATAACCAATAAACTTCCCTCTTACTTTGTTTCTTTTTCCAGTTTCACCTTAGATGCGAGTTCCTTGTGTGTGAGCTCATGTCTCGCGTCTGCGTCTGTCAGTGTCTCTGTCTCCGTCCGTGTGTGTGTCGTCAGCATCCATGGTGTCTTGTAATGTAACGGCTATGGCCCCTTGTGGTTGAATACAACATATTATATAGTATGTCTCCTGTTTTCTCTCTTCTCATTCATGCAAACACTGATTATCTCCTGCAAAAAAAATGACAGAAAAATTGAAGGAATAAAAAAGGATTGAACTTTGAGCGATTTTCGCAGAAAGAGAATCGAGGAACAAAGAGACCAAAGTGGGAATGAGCAAAGAAAAGTTCCCACTCGCCAGAAACCTTGGAATGGCAGCGAATACGTTAGTGGGCCGAGTTTTGGGCTATTTGGGCCAAACAAGGCCCCAACCTTCTATGAAAGAAGAAGGGCCGGGAGCGGGAAGATTCACAAGATCCCTCCACATCTAGCTGTAGATTCGGTATCCCGGATTTTAGAGGTATTCAGTTTCGGAATTTGATTCTGAATTATTGGGTATCTAAATTTTGAATACCGTGTGGACATTAATATTACATGTAGTCCATAAGGAAACTATGGGGAATCCCCCAACGTTTGAGAACCCTTCCTGTAAATTTCGGATGTTTCACATCCCACGTGTATGTTGCAGGATCATACGTGTGGGTCGGAATTAGTCTGGACGTTTGGACTTCGAATCACCCGATTATAAAAAAAAAACTATGAATTAGACCAGAAGTCAAAGATAATGACAATGCAACATGAGAAACTGACAAGACCGAAATAATAGTAACTTTTCACGTAACAGTTTTGTCTTAATGCGAACAAGATAAGACAGCTCCCAAAAAAAAAAAAAAAGCTTTGCATCTATCTTCAATCTTCATAGGCTTGTTGAATCACGAGATCTTCATAAAAATATCTTGGGATGGTATTGCAGAGAGAATCTACAAGCTTCGTTACGACTACGGATTCAATAGAAATAAGAACTAACACCCAGAAATCAAGTAATTACTGGCCGAATCATGAATCAGTTTATGAATGAAGGGACAGGGCAAATGAAAGAAAGTGGCATCATGCTTTATCCGCTTTCAGTTCTGTTCCAAACATTGCTCAAAGATTCCAACACGTGATCTTTAGTTAAACTAGTATGGGAAAACCCACCAAACTCATATGATGATCCATCACTTCAGTTTCTGAGATTCCCACAATTCATTCACCATCACTTGGTGGGAAGATTTACAGATTCCAAACACTGTTTTTTTTTCTGATCTTTGATTCTCTGGATCTATGAACTCGAAACGTGGCTAGATCATCACACGATCTGATCCATTGATGTGAGTGCCAGATCTCATTTTTGAATCGATCTCTTTCCTTTAGACCACAAGGTTGATACATCAATCATACTTCTCCCTCCAAGTACAGACAAGAAAGAAAACCCAAGACACAGCAAGAGCTATGTCTCCAAGGGCTTGTTTGGGCCATTCATACGCAAGATCTTCGAGCTTCCTTTCGAACGAGACTCTCCAAATAGCCATCAGCACATAGAGAACCGCACAACCTTTGGCAAAGAAGCCATGGAAATCTCTGTCCGTGACGAACGACACCAAGAACAGAACTAACCCTATGGCGAACAGAAGCAACCCGGAGAAGGACTGGGAAATCTGGATGAGGAGATCATCGTGTGGCGTTGATCCTTTCAGCTTGCTCGCAATGTCACTTCCATGGCCAAAGATAGAAGCTTTCTCTGTGTAGAACATCATCAGGGTTCCACTAGTAAGGGCGATAATCGAATGGAGTATGCAGATTACGCGAAACAGGTGTGAATTCATTGCTACTGCAGTCATTCAGCTAGACCCCAACGAACCAAAAGAAGGAACTTTATCTCAAAGATTGACAAAAGGATCAAAAACTTGCAAAGATATCACAAACCCATTTAAGAAATATCGACAAGATCTGGAATTTGGAAACAAGAGTGGAAAAAAAAACTGGTCTTCGTTAAGAAGCCAGACCCAGATGAACCTGAAGAATTGATCTTCAAAGGAAGAAAAAGTGGAGGTTTTTATTAAAAAAAAAATAATCACGGGCTTATTGGGTCAATGGACATTGTGGGGTTTTCGTTTCTGTCTGGGAATTCAATGGAGGAAAGAGGTATGGTTTAGAGATTGGGGAAGAGGGCGAAGATGATGGTGAATGATCTGATTTAGGGATTTGGACATGATAGGTGGGGTCTTGGGTGATTTATTTATTTATTTATTTATAATAATATAATAAACTAATTTTCTTTAATGGTGAGAGATTTGAATTGATAAGGTTTTCCCATTGCATTTCAAAACCCCATGACATGAGCAACAAGTGGAGTTATAAAAATAAACGAGAGTGAATTTTTACCAAGTAAAGCATTTTATATGACCGACGAACCTTTTTATGCAGAATTATTTTCCTTAAATACGCTAATCTTTACTTTGATCTCTACAAGTTATGGGTTACTGTTATATTTCGATTCAGATATTTATAAATAATTCTTTAATTTTATTAAAATCATACCTACTCTTTTTTATATATTGGTGTTAGTTTTGTATTCTATTAAAGGATACCTCGATTATAACAGAAATAGTTTTACAAAGTATTTTATTGAACTTTTTATTTTTCTATTTATTTTATTTTATTTAAAATACATAATACCCAATTCAATACTTGAACACTAAATTTAGGTGTGGATGGATAATAGTTGTTGAAAAATTAGATAGAAATTTTGACTGACCGTTTGATATAAAATGACTTTGCCTTTCCTACTTTTAGATATTGAGTTTTTTAAAAATAGATCGTATATATTTGGCTTTTTGACGAATAAAAGTATTAATACATATTTACATTTTGATTTGATCGTTTTGTCCGTATTTTATTTTCAAGAAATATATCGTTAAATTTTTATATTATGTTTCCGTTTGGATTTTACTTATATTTATTTTTTGATTAATTTGAATTTGATTGGAATACCGTATATTTGATTTAAAATTATACGGAATGGTCAAGGGATGCGAGATTCGATCATGTGGGGCCCGTAACAAAGCATGGGGTCCTCGTTTATCTCGTGGCCCATGATTTATTTACTTTTTATTCGATCACATCTTATAATCTTTGCTGTATATAATGTATTCTCCTTTATTTAAAGACAAATATTTTAACTATACGTTAAAAGTCACGCTGCCGACAAAAAATAAATAAAAAGAGAAATAATATTGTCATATGGACTATAGAATTCTCATTATTTAATCAGCCTTCGTATTAATGTGCTTTTAGACGACCAATAAAATTTTCAAAATACAAAAATCAAAATATATCTCTTTTATGTGTGTGTATATATATACATATATGTACCTTTTAGCATATGAAAAAAAAAACATCAAACCTTCACAACCAACAATTAATGAAATCACAAATAATTGGAAGTTAGAAGTATGATAGGGAAATTTGAAATAGTAAAACGATGTCATCAGAAATATCTAGAGTTTTATTTAATTAATTAATGCAATTTATATAGAAATTATAAATAGATTTAAAACTAAAAAGCCGTTAACAAGAACATTGTATTTACAAAGAAGGGGAAAATAAAAAAAAAAAACTGCAGAGATATTAATGAATGTAATGGGAAATCTTCTATTACGAGACGCTGTCTCGGTTTCCGGCAGAGATCTTGCGGTGACGCCTTGACCAGGACCTTCTATCTCTTCCACGCCTCTTGCCGCCGATATCCCTTCCCGGTGATCTTCCAAGTGGCAGAGCCGGTGGCTCGGGAAATCTTGCCACCGGAGGTGTCAGTTTCATCAGGATGTCCCTGTGGTATACCTATTCCATTTCCCTCTGTTAGCCTCTGCTCGTCTATGCCCCCCACTAACGTTCTATATGGTTCGGGACCCGAGTTTCTGGATTACCCGGCCTCGGGCTCGCCTCCATGGGTTTTATGACCGAAGTATCTCGGTCTCGGTTTCACGAGATTCGAGTACTGCAGATACCTTAACCCGTGAAAACATGTAAATTTGTGTTGATCCAAGTTGACTATACAGGTATAATATCGGTTTTATACGAAAATAGACATAGATATTATTGTAAGCATCCTGCAATGCCACGAGTATAAACGTCATTTTGCACATCCCCATATACCCGCGGGTAACCAGTCGTGCGAAGGAAAAACCCAAACCCATGGTCCGGGTTCCTCGCCTCGTCGTGCCCAGAATATCCGCATCCCGGGTACCCACAATGATAGATCTATTCTAACCCAAAAAAAAAACTATGTTTCCAGCCAAAAGAGTGAGACCCCAACACAAAATGTATCAGATATATATGTGTGTATATATACATAAAAAGGATACCTGCTTCACAAAGTTACGTCGCTCGCAATCCAAGAACATGTTGATGCTCCAATGAACTCTTGCCCTTATCTTATCCCTTACGATGGCAAAGCTTAGCTGATCCCTTGAAGTAAACCGAGCAACTTCGTTGAACCAAACACAAGTGAAAAGATTTGTGATGGGTATGTGTTCTCTTATGATGGTACAGCCCTCAGGAACGTCTGTGCCATTTTACCAATAAATATTTCAAGAATTTTCAATTTTTAGGCGGTACCCACATCTTTCATATATGTGCCTTACCACTGGTTATCGGGAGCTTAGCCTCGGAATAAGGGGTTAAACCCTCCTTCTTATAGAACTCCATTTGGTAGTCAATGGTTTCGTTGTCGTATTTTCTTGCAGCTTTATTTGCCTCGCCCTCTTCATATGCGTCGAAACGTCTGTAGTGTCGCGATATTGCAAAACTGGAATTCACACGCCACAAGAACCTGAAAAGAAAGAGACAAACATAGGAATTCATGACCAGCAATGCTTCTATGGATTCTATCAGATGACATATACAAAATCTGCTGTATTCACATACATCTTAGTGTGGATGAAGCATATTTGACTCAGCCGCCATTGAACAAAGTTTCATATGCAAACCATGTTTGCTAAAAAAATAATTAGAAGATTAGTTACCTTTCAAGGATTTGATATGGGTCTACAACAAGCTGGAGTTTCGCATCAATCCATATAGAGTACCGGACATTTGGGAATAGCCTATGCAAGAGAAGCTTTGGGACCTGCAAAAAATTCGCTGATGTTTCATCGATGATTTCTTGCCACTTTCTACTTGTTATCCATAACTTTTGGTGATCAGAAACATAGGGGATAGCCGAAATCTTGAATACTCCCGACTGTTACAGCAAAAACTTCCATAACTTTTGGTAATCAAGAATGTTTGATGGAAATTCTCGACCTTTCCATTCCGCCTTGCATCGTCGTAAGGTACACTGTGTACAACAATGATTCTCCACAATCCCACCCTCTTGTTATCATTTGTATAAGCGGTGGTATTCCTCAGATAGGCTTCTGTTACTTCATCAACAAACATGTAGAAAGGGATGTTCTTCTTTGCTACTTCACTAATGTTCCGTGGTTCCTGAATTATGTCATATTTCCCTGAAATGATCGAAACTGTGAGGTGAAGTAGAGCATACAGACAACAATTTCAACAGGAATCTTATCTTCTCTGCAGTACCGAATACAGCTGACGCAACAATGACATCATGGAACTGCTCCAGTTCATCAAGGATATCCTCATCAATGTTAAATAGAGTTTGGATGCCTGGTTTCTTTCCTTTAACGAATCTGCAGAGACAAAAAGGAGGAAGACTTTCTCAAGAAAGATATATAGGTAAAATCTATGTATGTATGTACGCACATATATATGCATGAATGTATGTAAAAGCCTGACAGCTGATAGAGAAACCACGTAAGCAAAATGATTTATTTTCCATCTCTTCGTGCTATTAAAGCTAGAAAGGTGCCAACTGTGAACAAGAGAAGCCTACCCACAATGCACTGCCATGGACTCTCTTATATTGAAAGAGTCGTTCCTCTGCTCTAGAGAAGGAAAGCCTCCAAATTCTGAGCTTCCTTGACCTTGACCTTCAAGTTTTAGAATACTTTCATCACGGATGTATGTCAAATTCTTGAGCACTGGAGATTCCGATGGATACTTCGGCATACGTGCAAAGGCCTCATCTGGTGGAAGATAGCATACTGGACATGCTGATCATTAAAAAAAACACATCAAGCAGTCAATCTACAACACAAACTGCTCAGAGAAAAGAACTCAAGGCAAATTAATGAAGGAGCAAACCAATAATAGGACAAGGGTTCACAATGGATTCGTGAAAGCGTAATTGTGAAAGGAAACTATCCAATGAAGAAGAGCATACGTCGTGGCCCAGGCCTTCTCAGTCCAGGCGGAGGAGGAGGAGGAAATGAAAAGCTCTTGCATGGATGGTGCAACGGAGGAGGATGGACCATCTCTACATCAGTTCCTTCAACGTCATTCCCCCAAAAAGAACCTTGATTTCCAAATGCCTGATTACTTCTAAAACCCATTGTTCCGATATGCTGATAGATATTTGGACTGCTGCTCTCTGTCGTGTCATCAGATAAGATACAGTCAAAAGGGCACAACACAGATACTACCTTAAAATATGTTCGATTATCCGTTCTTCAGATGATAGAAACTATCCACAGGATATACATTGAATAGAATCTTGAGATCCAAATATAAAACACCTTAGCATCTTTCATTTATGTCATTCCCCTGTAGTTCTCTAGCGCTAAAACTCTTCTTCATCCTTTTCTTTCAAGTCTAGTAAAAACTATTCAAGATTAGCACATCAAACTCCACGCACCAAAGATTCACATAAGAAAACTCTTGACTTTACCTTTGTTGACAGTGAAAGAACCAAGTACAAAGACAACGAGGGCGAGGATGAGAAGCAGCAACATAGCAACTCGCCTTCGGCCAAGGCACCAGCAACATAAGGAGGAGAGAGACCTCTCCTTCTCCTTAGAGCTTGAAGTGAGCATCTTTGAAGATGCTCTACGCGAAAAAGTTGAAAGCTTTGTCGTCTGTAACAATGGTATCCCGCCGTTGGGCAACTGCAATGTGCCATAACTCCCATTACGAAGTCCCAATGACTGTCCAGTCATTGTATCTCAAACCCTCTTGATCGAATTATCATATCTCCCCTCACAGAATCCTTTGAAATTCCCTCTCGCAGGCTACCAAAGTACTACATCCACATACATTTGCACGGGAGAGCCACGGCCGGATAAGGGAATGAAACAATACTCTACAGAGAAAAGTTCATCATAACTAGAACACCCTTTTTGACGAATCCATCCATCCGCGGAATCGCCGACAAAGTTCGACAGATTTCAAGTCGAGACGATGATCTCAAATTGCAATGTGATTCAAATCCGATGTTAAACAAGATCAAACAGCGCCAAACATCTGCATTTTTCACCGCGAAAAGACCCTCGCTCACATCGCGATTCAATCAAAACGGAACTCAGAACAGCGCATTGCCGACCAGAGATGGGACAAAACCCAGAAATCAAATTCCGAAAAGACGCGCAAGAGGTAGGAAAAAATTCCGCGAGATTCCACGAATTCGGGAAACAAGATTACCCTTTTTACGAATTCGACATCCCAATTCGCCTCTGAATTTGGAAGATCATAAATGGTGACAAATTCTTCTTATATTTGCAGTTCACTGTTCCTTTTGTTCCGCGTAAGATTCCTTTTTTTAAGGTTATTTTAATTTCAGGATTAAGAGTTAATTAAAGTATTATGAACGTGACGAAACGTTCGTGTTATCATGTCTTATTTAATTAAAAGACTACACTTGATTAGTTGTCGCATTAGCAATTTAAATACTTCGATTCCACCTAATCATGATTAGGTTTTAAACGGCGACGGTTACGGAAATTGTATGTTAACACATTCTTTTGTTAAATTATATGCTTTTGAAGGAGATAAAAATGTTTATCTTCTACAAAGTGCAGGAATATATAAGTTGACTTCGATAAATTGATGGAAATAATAAATTTTTAAGATTTTGTTTTGATTTCTTTGATTGTCTTTTATAAATTGTTTGTTAGATTGAAACAAATTAATTATTTGTTGATTTGAAATACAATTCTATGATAGTTTTTGTACGGTAATTTATTGAATTTGTGAGTGAATTTATTTTTCTCAAAAGTTTGGTCAATTGAATTATGACCATTTTTTTTACCCCGTTTATAAAACACAAAATAAAATAACAACAATTTCATGTCCGAACCAAACCGGCTAAAAATGTCTCGAAGAAAATACTATATGTGAATCAACCCCTTTTATTTTACATTCAAACCCGCTTATTAAATACAACATTTTTGTAGAAATATGATAATACAACTAAGATATAAGCCAAAGCCACAAGCTTGACTTTTTATTGACTCCCAAGACCACAGTTCTAGCAACAATACGAAAACAGACCGAACCAATGTCTCAGCATCAGTTCTTGGCGGCGTTCTTGAAGCCCCAGCTCCATATCTCGTGACGCTCGATGCCACGGCCCATCGCACCGCTAAAGCCAGCATACATTTTCTCGAGAAACACGTTGGATAGATCGATGTTCGTATCGATCAAAGGCCTCTTGGGTTTCTTAACGTCTTCAGGCGCGATCGTGACGGTAAGCCTCTGCTTCCTGTACTCGATCCAGGCCTTGTACTTGTCCCCACTGCTCAGCTTCACCTCCTGGAACGACCACTCTCTTCTTGCCCGAACCCAGTAACCGGCTTTCTCAGAAACCACCGAAACGACAGAGTTCACGTCGATTCCGACGTGGTTGTCGTTGATGTCTCCTAGGCTTTTGTCCTGAACGACGTCGAACTCTACGGCGAAAGCGTGGTTGTTAGGGTTGCCATTGTTGGTGCGGTTGAGGAAGCCGAGGAATCCAGCGGGTCCCGCAACGTCGTGGGTTGCCTCGGGGACGATGACGAAGGCGAGGCCATGACCAGGGATGGGATTTGTCTTTTGGGGTTTGATGGAGAATGTGAAAGATGTTTCGAATGGATAAGTTGTCGAAGAGGGAGAAGAGTTTGAAGGCTTGAAAGGGATTGGATTGATGTACAGTCCACGACCGTGGGAGAAAGGGTCATCACGTGTCATGGAGAGAGACCCGGACCGGCTCCTGCCATCTGATGCGGCTCCGAGCTCGGCGTCTCCGAGAAAGACCAAGTCCGAGCCATCGAAACTCTTGAAGTTGAACTTGACGGCGAAACCTGTCGGAGAACCGACCAGAGTAATGAACAAAGCAAGAAAAAAGACTTTGTGGGTTTGCATTATGTTTGTGTTTTTGGGTTTTGTGAGAGCAGAAGAGAAGGTAAGTGTGTGTATATATAGACGAGGAGATGAGGCGGCAAGTTTTGAATAGTCAACGAACATTCAAAACGATGATTTTGTCAAATAAATAATGCACCAAGTTGATGCATGAGACGAGAGGGTTGAATAGGCAATATAGCACAAATACCCTTACTTTGCTACATAGACTTCACGGACTACCCTCCAAAACCCTAAAATTTTAGAAAAAAAAATAAAAGGAACAAAAGACATAATTAACCCTCTCACAAAAAGTAACGTGGTATTCCTCTCTTCATTTTGAATTCATCTCTCTCATTTTCATTCTTTGATAACTCTTCATTTCTTTCTTAACTTTCTCTCTCTACTCTTATATTTCTCTCAACTCTTTCATTTTCTCTCTTCTCATTTCATTTTTATACATAGAAAAACAAACGAAAAATGGTTATTTCGTTGAGCATATCTTCACCGACGACCTCATATCTTCTTCTTGAGTCGGTCTAAGACAGAACAAATGACAAAAACTGAAGGTAAGTTCATTAATACAAGAGATTGATTCGATGCATAAACTTTGTGTTTTGGGTTTGAGTTTTATGATTTTTAGAGTGAATCGTGTATTTTTTTTTATGAAAATGAGATAGATGCATAGCAAATCTGTCGAAGAATATGCAAGAGGTGCATATTTAATTTCAAATAAATGTTCGGAGCGATAATGGAACGGATTGACAACAAAAACAAAGGTACGTCACATTGGTTACACCGTTTAAAATTTAATTTTGATCACACTGGTCACACTAGTCACATTGGTCACACAGGTCACACTGGTCACACTAGTCATACTGGTCACATCGTTTAAAATTTGTTTTGGTCACACTGGTCACACTAGTCACACTGGTCACACCGTTTAAAATTTGTTTTGGTCACACTGGTCACACTAGTCACA